TCCTGTCTGATGTGTTATCTGTATGTGTTAGGCAATTAATTGTTCTTTACATAGCAAGTTGACCTGCAGGAGTGCATTGAAGGGGAGGAACAAAACATTTACTGGCCTATCTAACAAGCCTACTCAAGATTACAGACATGGAGCATAAATATTTTTCTTTTAATTTGTCTAAAATTCAAATATACATGTGTCTGTATAGAGTTGTAATTATTTGTTAACATACTAAGTTTGGTGTTATTGTTATTACAAACAACTAGGATAGTTATTTTGAAATATTTATATGTAAAAATGGTGGGGCACCAATCATTTTAAAACATAAATACCAGTAAAACTACAAAACTCGCTCTTGCTCTTGTGTTTTTTAACATGTCAACAAACAGCATGGCTCCACAAAACACAACATGAGAGAGAGCGAGACAGAGAGAGAGAGAGAGGGAGTGCATTGACAAGTTACAGTATGACTGTGACAAGCCTAAATTAAGAATGCAATATTTAAGCTGACACAACCAAGCTCAGAACAAATGAGTCTACAGGGCCATAAGCAACAGCAGTGAAGTCAACACCACTGTGAGTGCACAGACAAGACCAGAGCCTTTCTATAGCCGCTTTCCACAGAGATCCTGCAATAAAAATGGAAAGAAAGTCCGCCAATAAATAATCTACATACCTTTCATACAGTGCAGTGAGCCAGCTAATTGGCCTAATAATCCCGAATAATAAGGCAGTATGAAAGTGGCTATATGGCAACAACATCATGACAACAACCGTAATCCATAGCCTAGTCTCAACCGATCCAGTACAACAATTTGCTCATGCAGGTTACCTGCAGGGGACTATGGGACTCACACACAGTACAATACACAAAACTGTGTAGCAGTGTGACAGACTTATTATAAACTAGCCAGGGTACTAACTGTCTCTGTACATGAATTAAATTACACTTTTTCTGCAACTTGTCGCTGCCTCCACAGAAAATGCACAACACCGGTTTACTCTGATCTGCTCTGCCTGTTAGTCCCACCCCTTAACCAGTCACAATTTTAGAAACGTGACAGGCATCTACATGGACGAATCGGAGGCCTCTCTTAAAAGAAACATCATAGTCTGTCACACCTCAGGGTCAGAGGTTACCCTCTTAAAGTCACAGAGCCTAACATGAGAACACGTGTATGCTGCTATTGCCATTTTAACTCAAACTAAGGGGTTACATAATATAAACAGTATATATAGTATATAGCATTTTATGCATATGCAAATGGGTGGCCACCTCAGTGCACCCCCTGGCGGCGCCATTGCTTCAGGATAAGGCTGAATGAAATCAAGTCATTTTGAGGCAGAAACTACCTTTCAGTCAATAAGTAGAGACTGCAATAACTTTCTGGCAAGTAGAATAATGCATTTTATTTGTGTGTTTGGCCATTTAAAGTTATTTCAACAGGTAAAAAGGACTGGATTGGTTGGTACACAGCAAGTTAAATAATGTAGAGTCATAAGGATATAGCAAAAGAGATCTTGTCTTTATTTTATATATAACTCAGTAGTATGTTATGTAATGTTATTATTTATGTTGTAATTATAGGCCTGCCAAACACATGATCTATCATCAACAACAGGCTTCAATTATTGCCTATAATCACATAAATGTCATGCTTGGTTACATCAACTGCAAACACTTATTTGGCCACAATTGTGATTTTTCTGTTCAAAGAAATGTTAAAAGTAGACCTATCACAAAGACATATCTTTGCTATTACCACAGACATAAAGTGATGTTTATTTGCACGTTATGTCTGTTTGGTCCAGATAAAAGCACCTGCAGACGTAAAGAGGCTGGGCGATACAGCTCTAACATGCTGTGCGTGCTCCCGCGGAGGGCAATCAGTTTTCAGCGATTACTTTTTGGCAAAACACCTGTACACTCTGCTGTCCAGTTTTTCTGCGTAAAATCAGGTCTGTTAACACCTTCTACAGTCTATGAATAACACACAGTTAAAAACGGGGAAATTTCCTTGGACAGCTCCAGACGGGGACAGGCCACCAAAACCGGGGACTATCCCCAGAAAACGGGGACGTCTGGTCACCCTAGTCCACAGTCCTCAGCTGTACCTCTGGTTAGCCCAGACGCTTCTCTGTTGTGACCTTTAGAGCCCCAAACCTACAGTATTAAACAGTCCTGAAATTTCCACTATAGCCTGATTCCTTCATGCCTGAGCTTGACCACTAAGCTTTAGTTAACCAACCATCACACACCAAGAACGTGCACAAGGCCGGGCTAAAGTTGCCCAAGCAACAGCCCATTTACTGCTGAATTAATATGGCATGACCCTATGCCCCTGTCATGTGACACTGTAGCATCCAAACTTTCTATTGTTGCTGTTGTGTGAGAGCTCCAGTGAGTATTTTGAAGTTGTGGAATCAATTAACGACAAATGGTATAACCAAAGGAATGCAATCAGCACTGCTCCACTGAATATTATTTATTTCTGTTTGCCATTTTAAATTATAATTTTATATAATTTTTTACGTTACTGTATATTGTCTGCTACGTAGCAGAAGGAAGTCACAAACTTTCAGTTCCCAACCTGTTGTAATGTAACAAATAAATCTACCTTGTACCTTATAAAGGAGGAGGGGGCTTACCCCAAAAGCTCCACTTCAGAGACCACTGGAGAGCCTGGAAAATACTTGAGGCCAGAAAATATGTTCATGAAATCTTATATGACATTTTGTAATTGTCCTATATTTTGACACATTTTTTTACATTTACATTTGGATGCTTTTATCTAAAGCAACTTACATTTGAGGAACAACATACAAGCAACAATATGCCCAGATGCATCATATACATTTACATTCAAACTAGACATTGTTCACTGCAGTTTAATTCCTGGGCTTCACCAGGAAGCACTGAGTCAAGCTACTCTAAAGTTCAGTTGTTTTAGTACATTTTTATTGAGAAAATTACATGATTCAGTCGGATGTTCAGAATTGAAATGATGAGAACTTTTGAACCAGTAAAGTATATATAAGGTACTTTTTATTTTAAATAGCTGAACTACCATGCCCAAGCAATTTTTTAATAATTAAGCTGTGGACAATGGTATTCTTAATTCTGATTCTAATAATTCAATTTAAGATGAGGCGCAATCACAAGACTCTAGACCAGAGAGTGAGAGAGAGCATGCTGAGCATCAGGAGAGACATCAGACAGGTACATACGAGGGTGATAATGGCCGAGTGTGAGAGAGTTATAAGGGCCATGTCAGTAAGAGTGGGATAAAGAGAAAGAAAGATGCTGTGTACAATAGTATTCTTTACAATTCTAAATTGTATGTATATGTATAAAGTGTCCTTGTGACAAACTATCTATATTATTGTCTCTGGTAATTTCATGGACAGAAATGTTTATTATTGAAATCCAGACATTCATTCATGGACATATGAGATATGATACAATCAAAACTTGGTTTTGGATTATACAGTGAAGTGTAATACGTTCTCAATGGCTCGAATTTGCCAAATCTACTTTTAAATTTTACTTTACATGATGTATACATTATCATCTTGCAATCATCTGAGTTCACAGAGTTTATGTGTAAAGTTTGAATACTGAGGTTTTCCCTTTTTTGGTTTCAATAATCAATCTAATTGATAGATGGCAGTCACATTGGTGTTTAAACTAGTAGCAAGAAAATTGTGGTTAGTTAAATGAACATATTTTACACCGTTCAGGTACCCCTAAATCAGGTTGGGGGGGAGGGGGTAACCTTTTCTCAGGTTAGATTAAAAGCCCCTCAAAATGTCTGTGCACGTCCCTGACACACACAAAGAAAAGCTTTACCTCTCTCCACTGACAAAACAACGCAAAACCACAACAAGTACTTCTTAATGGAGCAAAAATTAATCACGTCATGGCCACCAGACGCCCAGCCAGTTTTGTTGTTGGTTTATTTTCACCGGAAACCTGACTCAGTCTGGAAATATGCAGAAAAAAATGGTTCGCAACCCAACTTGAATTTGTTGTTGAATTTGTTTGAATTCTACTTAAACCTAAACATAACTTTTTCAATAAATCTGTACAGCATGTGTAACACTTAAAGTATCTGTTAACAATTTCTCATAACTAATTAACACTTTTGTGTTCTATTGGTTTTACTATTGTAATCAAATTTCAGTAATCAAAACTGATGTCAGCATATTGTCATATGATTTAGATTTTGTTGGAAGAACATAATATTCATCACTTCAAATAACTGACGTGAGGATCTTCACTTATGATCTGAATTTCCCCTCTTGGAGCTGCAGCATGTGTCATTACAACACATCCTCTTGTTGTTCTCCCTAATGAGGTATTATTGGATGAATGGATACATCCCTCTCTGTAAACAATACCTGCGACAAACACCCAGTCATCTGGATCATCAGAGTCATGTGTTTGTGTGTATGTGTGTAAAAGGGGCGGATAGCAGGCAATGGGAGGCCCCATCACATGTCAAAGCTGTGTCCATGTGTTATCGTTTCAGCGTGGAGAGAGACTAGGTGGGCCTGTGACAAGAATTAGCCTGACATATCCAGCACCTGAATGATTCACAAAGCATCAGGCGCTGGAGTTATCTCCTCTCTGCAGACAGATGCATATTAATATCCATCAGAAATGTCACATGGTGAAGAAAAGACTCATCCAGTGGCAACCTTTAAAGGGCCAAACATGCACAGATGTAAATATATGGTAATTCAATTTGCTGTGTTTCAGATTCATTTAACAGAGAAATAATTGATTCAGACATTAGGTTTAGAAATGTAAAATGATATTGCTTTTTGCAGGTGTTCAAAAGGTGTTCATTGATCGACCTGAAACTTTTGTGTTCATTGATTCAACTCTCCTTTGTATCATTTCACAAAGACTCTGCTTTTACAATAGAAATCAAAAAAGGTTAAAAGAGCAATAAAAGTGCAGGATTGTTATTCAGCTGACAGGAAAGAAAACACCCACTTCAGAAAAAGGTTAAATGTTTTATTTTCACTGAACAGAACTGTGTTTCTTACTAAAATATCTGTACAAATTAAAATCTTACAGCAAGTCACTTACAATTACCTTCCATACTGTCAAGGTCATTGTGTTCTTCAAAAGTGATGTAATGCCAGGAGAGAAACCAAACATCTGACACCAAAACTACGAAATGATTCCGCAAAACAATTTAAAGTGACATTCAGTAAACAGTTTACAGTAACATTGTTTAAAGTATACAGCTCCAATGTCTTCAGTTTGTGTATTCAATAGTTGTTTCCCAGCATGCCTTGTCTCCCTTCAAAGCATGCAATGAGATTAGGTGCATTCGAGATGACGGCGGCTGACTTTTGCCAACTATATGGTCTAACGCGAGCTGCAGGTAACTGCAGGGGCGGGGTATAAAAACGGATCCGTCATGTTGGACACATTCTACCTGCATCAGCTTGCTGTGAGCTGAGATCAATGACTGGTCTCACACCATTTGCAAAGAAAAATGCTGTGAGACCAGGCAATAGTGTGGCTCCAACTTTGTGTAGCCGGAGAAACGCAACTGCTGCCTTGCTCCCGCGAGGTTTAAATGTCATGTTACATGGTGATGTTTTGCAGCGCCAGTGAAAGTCGGACACAATTTCTAACCAGCATGCCTTATTTTAAGTCCAGCATGCATCACGTTAAGTCAGCATTGCGCATTGCCGCATGAAGTCAAACGCACGCAGTTTTGGCTGTTTGGGGGAATTTTCATGAAGGCTTTTAACTTGATATTTAAGAGTATCTGGAGACACAGAATTTTGTGATGGCGAAGTGGCTTATAATACAATCTGGTCCCATCTGCAGAAAAACATAAAGAAACTGTGTAAAATGAAAGTCACAGGAAAAATGCACTTTGTTTAAAATCTAACATAGAAACAACAGGAACTAGTTGCTTCTTACTCTTTGTGTCTGTTTGGTTGCTTGACTGGTTAGATCTGATTAAAACCTCAGTAGGTGTGATCACTTTCCATGAAATGCTTTGCTCTTTATCAGCTGATACACCATGGTTTTTATTTCATACTTGTTTTCCTTCTCTCAATCTCCATTTCAGACAAGGGCATTTGTGTTTAAAGATAAATAAAAGATTTTTATTAGAATTATGTTGGGAACAGAAAGACTGGAAAATTTTGTAGTCCACTGTAACTGTGTCGGTCTCAGGACCCTTACTATTCAGAACTACGTTGAGAGTCAGGAATGGCACAGAAAAAAAAAATCAAGCGAAGGGATACAAAGAAAAACAAATACCGGCTAAGCTTTGCTTCAAGCTGTAACATAATGAAAGAGAATCATGGTGAATAAAAGACTTTTTGATAAAATGAGAAATGTTCAATGTGAACGGATACATTTTGCCTTTCCATATGTCATACAGTAGGTACAAAACCCCCAAAACAAAAAACAACAAAAAACTAAAACCATGAAGACAATGTGAATCATCAAATTGAATTCAGTAGGCTCAGTCACTCAAAACAGCAAACATTCATTATCCATGTTGGTAAATGTATTTATATCACCCCAGACCCAACAAAGCTTTTTCCCCATTCAATGAATAATACAGTTCCTCATTTAATCATTTCAAACATTTCAATATGACAGGAAGGACTGATTGATATAAAGTCATAGTTTTAAGATTTACATCATTAAATATTTACACTTGTTCTACTGACAGTATTGACACATTGGCATATATAAATTCAACACTTGTGCATTTATATACAGTCTTTACAAAAATACAACCACAGAAGCAAAAACAAAACAAAGGAAGACAGAACATAACTGTTTGTGTCTTCCTGTCTTGTTGAGCCACTGCTCGGGCTCAGTTAGTAGTGTAAAGCACTGAGGCTTGACAAGGCATCTCTGTCTCTATCTGTCTCCTCAGCTCCAACACTGCTGGGTCAGCAGCAGGTAGAACCACCTAAATAAAATATTCTTTCTGGTTCTCACTCGGACCATTTTGCGAGCTGAACGCCAGCTCCGGGCTATCTTCAGGTTGGACTGTTTTTACTTCCCGGCTCCGACACATCCCTTTCCTGCTGTAGAGGACTCGGGCCATTATGGCTAATGCAGACACGCTCACAAAGATCACCACCGCTATCACACCTGCAAAGCAAAGAATTGGAAAAAGTTACAACGGCTTAACAGAATTGGAATGTGGGCCTTCTTTGCTCACATTTTATAATTATGTTAGGGAATTCTACTTGAAAGAGAAAGCACACGCTAGTGAATAACAGTGAACAACATATATACAAAATTGGTACAAATACAAGACACAAAACAAGTCAATATTTAGTAGAGGTGTTCTGTATGTGTCTATGTGGGTAGATATGTATCATCTTTACACATCTTTAAGTTTCTGTCTGCAAAACTGCTTAAAGAAAATTAAGAGAATTAAGCTTTGCTCACACAGGGCGCTAGATACACAACACGGTGTGATGCAAGCTCAAAAACATGTCCGTTGGATTGCGAGACAACAGTGTGAAATGTATCTCAGAGTTTGTAAAGTTGTGAAAACAATCAGAATTTAAACTTGAATCTTGATAATAACTGAATTCTCTGTGGCTTTATAAACCTTGTTTTGAAATGGGACCGATTAGAACCAAATAGGAGATGAAACATTATATTGGGAAATAAAACTCCTACTTAAAAGCAACTGGTCAGCGGCCCATCAGGCAGAGAGAAAACATTAGATTGTTTTCGCCCCATCATTAGTGGTGCAGTCAGCTCATTTTCTCCAGGCTCCCTGGGCAATTTAAGCTATTAGAAGGTCTCTGCACTGATGTTGGCAATAACCTTTTTTTTTTTTTTTTTTTACCGTTGTTGTACTTGGAGTATAAATTCATTTGTATTCTAGTTAGTTGTGGTTTCCTTTGTGTGCCATGACAACTCAGGGCTTTCATTTACACAATTCATTTTATCAAAATGCTCCTGCCTGCCCCACAAAGAACTGGCATCTTAATGTGGTGGAGGGGTTTGTGTGTCCCTGTGATCCTGGGAGCTTTGTTGTCAGGGAGAATAGCCCCTGGTAGGGTCTCCCAAGGCAAACTGATCTCATGGGAGCAGCCAGACTAAGAACGATTCTACATGAATCAGCTGAGAAGGAACTGTACCTCTCCGGAAAAGGGATACTGGGACAGCCTCCTGGAGTCAGACCTGGGAGGGGCGTCTGGTGGCCGGGCCTTGACCCATGAGGCTCGGCAGAGTGGCAGGCAAAGGTAGGGACCTAGGCATGCTGACTCACGGTATTAAAGGCTGGTGCTAGGGACACAGAATCTCACCTCTTTGGCAGGGAAGGAGCCACAGCTGGAGCAGGAGGTGGAGCTCACCTCTATGCATAGCACTGTTTCAGGACACTAACTCCTAGAGAGGGACTGGACTCTATTCTTCTCCCTTATAAGAGGTGCTGGGTGGATGTAGTGTACTCACAAGCCCTCGGTTCTCCTCAGAGACTGAAGAATGTCACCTCAGGGGGAAGATTCAGCAACTCAGGGTGCTTTCACACTTGTAGCTCGGTTCATTTGGTCCGGACCAAGTGAAAAAAATTTATTTCTCACCTCAAAACTTCTCAGAAGTGGATTTGGTGATTTAATAACGTATGAAATATAAAACTTTCTGTCAGGCACACGCAATGATGACGCAGTGAATAGTGACGATTCTCTCTGACCAATCAGTAGTCTTCTGTGTTTTCATGTCACATTTTAGTATCGCCTCAGCTCAGAACTTCAGTGGAGGAAAATTTGAGAAGTCTCATTTAAAATTACACATTTGATTTATCTTGTGAACCAGGTGATCTCAAGGTTCATGAAAGATGTTGTGGAAAAGTGTGTGTTTTGCAGTGGTGAAGCTGAAACCATCTGTCATTTATTTTATGATTGTGTTTGTACCAAATTATTTTGGTTAGACTTGGAATATCTCTTTAAGACATTGACTGGTTCAACTATTATTTGGAAGAAAAGAGACATTATATATTTTTTTATGACAAGAATGATATTGATTGTAAAAGAAGATATATTTTGAACCTCTTTATTTTGTATGGAACATTTTATATTAATAATATTAATTGATATTTAAGTGCAAATGGTTGAAGAAGAAACCACAATTACCTCTTTTTAAGATAGAAATTAAACATTACATTAATACTTTATTTGGTTTAAAGAATAAAAAAGTCAAAACAGTTAAAATATGTAAAGATTTAAATATTTCTCTATAATGCCTCATGTCTGTTAAGAGATGAAATAAAGATTAAAAAACAAACAAAAAAACAGAGCCTTGACGGAGGTGATACGAAAAAAAGTACCTGAAAGCAGGTACAGGTACAACTTTTCCACAGTGGAAAACCAAAAAAATGCGAGTAGAATCGAGGCAAGGCAAGGCGAGCTGGTACCATGCAGTGGAAAAGGGGCTAAAGTACATTTTTTTAATAAGCAAGGTTAGTAATGTTAGACCGCAGATTGACCACATAGCCTTTATGAATAATAACGTAAAAACAGAAAATGTAGTACAGTAATAATATGGGGCTTATTAGCCTATAGTATAGGCCTACTGTGGTATCGCTGTCACAAATGTTTTACAGGGTAAACGGAGTACCACTTGCCCTCCTTTTTTAACAGATTTTCACCTATTGATCAGGGAAAATACCTGTGCTAAAAAGTAGCCTATACCTTACCAAACGATTTTCAAGAACATAGTGGCTTATGCAGATCAATCAAAAGATAATTGAACACATTTTGCGGTCAGATGATTGATTTATTAGTTGTTTATCTTTGGAAATAATGCTCAGATCACATCTCTGCTATCATATAATCCTGTGGTTGGTTTGTTTGCTTTCAAACCACAAGCGAACCGCACAAGAATTCGTTTAAAAGCGTACCGAGACCACCTCTTCAAGGCGGCTTGTTTGATCCACTTTTGGTGCGCACCCGAGTGCGATTGCTCCATTCACCCCTGCCCAAACGAACCACACCAAGGGAGAAAACGTACTCTACTCTCATGTGGGTAATGATAGAGAAACCTGGCGGGGGGTGATTGGGAGCAGCTATGTCTGTATTCTTAGCACAAAGTCAAACATGTTTTCAGTGGGTGTTGGACTCCACCAAGGTTGCCCACTGTCTTTCATCGTGTTTGTGATATTCATAGACAGGATCTCAAGGCACAGCTGAGGAGAGTAGAGTGTTCGGATTGGGAACTTTAGAAGTGCATCTCTGCTTAATGCAGATGAAGGGTTCTGTTGGCTTCATCAGACTGCGACCTTCAGCACGCACTGGGGTGGTTTGCAGCCGAATGTGAAGTGGTTGGGATTACGGCTGTGCGATAGGACTAAAATCTTATAGGTGGCAGATTGGTGCAGTATCAGCAGCAGTAATGCAGCCATTGTACCAGACCATTGTGGTGAAAAGGGGAGCTGAGCTGGAAGGCAAAGTTTTCAATTTACTAGTCGATCGATGTTCCAACCCTCACCTGTGGTTATGATCTGTGCGTAGTGACTCAAAAACAAGATCGCGGATACAAGCAGAAGAAATGAGTTTCCTCCACAGGCTAGCTGGGCAAGAGTGAGGTGCTCTGACATCTGGAGATAGCTTGGTGTAGAATTGCTGCTCCTTTGCATTGAAAGGATATAATTGATGTGGTTTTGTATCTGATAAAGATGCCTCCTGGGCACCTTTCTTTGGAGGTTTCCAGGCATGTTCCAATTGGGAGGAGACCCCAGCATGCCTTGGAATGGAAAATGTTTCTGGGGAGGATGTCTGGAATACCCTGTTTACCCTGCTGCTACCGCGACCAGACCCTGGTTATGCGGAACATAATAAATGGATGGATGATGGATGAATGGCTCCTGCCTGACAACCAGTAAATATTTCAAAACAAAGGAAAGATGTTTCAACTAAAACTTAGATACAGACTATACCTTGACATTTGTAATATAATATTTACTAAAACAAAGTTTTTGTTAGTTCTTCTTTAATGAGGTGTAAAAAGACCTGGTAGGAGCAGAAGCAACTGTATCATAACTGACCTTTTATAAATCACACCATCTCGTGATTGATAATGATGGCCATGTGACAGTGAAAAAAATATTGGTGCTACAGTACCTCCAATTAGAACTGAGTCACTCCTGATGGCATTCACCAAAGGCTGACCTGTTCCCACTGATCCAGACTGGCCTGCAGCGCAGAGAGAACAGAAGAAATAGAAAGCAGGGACAGAAGAGATGGGTAAAAGGAAAGTGAAGAGAGGACACATGCAGAAGAAGGATCACAGGAGAATAAAAGAGTTGTGAGAAAGAAAAAAAGAAAACAAAAGAAAAGAAAAAAGGAGAGGAGCATAGAGGTCAATCGTGACTTGAAAAATTTAAATGGGGAAAGGTACTGCATAGAGATGCTTAAAGGAAACATGTAGAGGCAAACGGAAAACATATATGGGACCACCATCAGCACAGATAAGAGATATTGGATACCACAGCACATTTCCATATAATTCTCTATATGAGTCCCCACAGGGGAACGATATGGCAAAGGAAACTCTTCCCTGGTCTGAATAAGTTGCCTCATCTAGTGGCTATTAACCCGTTAATTACATTATTAGAGACCCAAAGGTCCCATTTGTAAAGTTTGAGAGGCAGCACCCACACAGAAAGCTGGACAGTACCGCCTACGATAACCTCAATAATATTTATTAATATGAGCCCTTTGAGAAAGTGGGTGCTCTAATTGTCACCCACAGGATTTGGAAGAAACATTATGAGGTCTGGAGTTTGGCTTTGCTACTTGCTGGCTACGTGCTGGCCACTATTCTGTATCTTATTAAATCAGAAAATCCAAATATTTGCAACTGCTTCCTGCACAGCTAAGAAAGTCCACAGTCCAGAAAACATACCTCCAAACACAACCATTCTCAACCTACAAATCTGCATATTTTACATCACTGTCAAACATTCTCCAAAGGATATGTTTCATTTGGGAATACCCAACATTTTCCTCTGACCTGATATGTGGTGTGTGGTTTCTGCTGCATAGGGATTGGCTGAGGTGGAGCCACAAATGGACTGGACCAGTGGGCCAGTAACGACGACTGGGCTTGTGGCTGGGCTGAGCAGAGCAGCTTTCAAAGGGCTGATGGAGTTAAAGAGGACAGCAGACAGACACCCTGTGAAACCCAGGGAGGCAAGCAGAGACAACTCCGGATCCAACTCACCAGAGTCTGGAGAGAAAGAGAGAGAGATGATTGATGATGATTTATTAGTACATTTAAACATTTTCAGTGGAGCAATAATAACATAAACCTTCCTTGGATATAACATGTATCACATAAAACATTTTGGTACCTAAAACCCTAACCCATATACTGAGCCAGATCTACCATATTGGCAATCTGGGCACGTGCCCAGGGTCCAGAGAGGGGCCCTCTGTGAGGTATTGATTCACGATCAGTTTTTGTAAGAACAAGTTGAGATTAAAACAGTGGAATTAATTTGTAACTGACCCATGGTCAGATAGCTTGTATCTGCGAGTGTAACATTAGTGTTTGTGGAAATGGAAGCGGCATCCGAAAGCCCAGCGGAGCTGCCAAGACAAAGAATGGATAAGGAAGAGAAAGCTGCAATAAAAAATGTCCCGCTAATAAGTAGCTTTTTCAAAAAAGCAAGAAATGAAGAGGAGGATGTCGAGCTAGCCAGTGTTAGCTTGGAAGTATCGTCTACTCTACCAGCTACGCTCAGGCTCAGTAAGTTAACGTTAGCTAACTTTAGCAAAGAAATGGAAAAAGACAAAGATGACGCTGGTCAGCAAACAGAACGAGATAACTACACCTCAGGCTCAACGGCAGTGGCAGGCACCATCATCGCTTATGAGCCTGCACTATGGGGATTGATGGCAGAGAGAGTCCAGGAGGAAATTCTTCTCAAAGGTATTTCAGCCTTTCAGAATCTGCGGCTAACTATCCAGCATCACAGAGGCTGAATGAGGCCGGCGGAAAGACATGATATTATATTATAATTATATAAAAAATGTATAGCTTTGCTTGTTGCTAGCTGGACTTTGAGGACTTGATGGGCTACATTGCGAAGAAAAAGACAAGAACATAAGAACATATAAAGGTGAAAGCTGTTATGCTATCTGTGAATCAGGAAACGTTGGCTAATATATCATCTGATTGTGTGACCACATAATGAATATTTTTATTTTTATATGCTGTTTGCATAACATGTGTATTGCGTCATTATGGTGTGATAACTGCCATAAACCTGAGTAAGAGTTAGTTTGTCAAGTGCAGTATATATATTGGCTTTTGGAGTGTATGAAGTTACCCAGCTCACTTAGTGACAGTTCTTTTGCAAACTGCACCCAGCAGTGTTGTGGTATGACGTTTGTATCTTCAGTCAGTCATGTTTCAGAATTATTAGTGTGCTTTCTGCTTGGGTAATTTTCAGTGAACACTATTTTGCTATAGTCTTGAGCCATACAATGCCTTGAGATTAATTTATTTTATAATTGTACTGTGATTTGTGATTGAGATGGCAGTACTTGGTTTATTGAACTGGACAGGCAGACTTGCTGATCTGGCCTTGCCATAGGGCCTTGCCCATATATTAATGGCTAAATCAAAGTATGCTGATAAAGACAAATATTTCAAACAAACGTTTATAGTGGGTTTACAGTAGCAGTGCCACACCTGGATCAGGGAAGTCCCACAGCCTCCAATCTTATTAACAACCTATTTCTTAGCCTGTCTCTGAAGGTGCTGTTAAAGAAGAATATAACTAGGTTATGACAAAGTAAATTACAGTGGTGCTATGTCTCCGTTACATATCTGATCTGTTTAACAGGCAGAGGCAGTAAGAAAACAAGAGCAGAGGTATTTTGATAGAATAGTCTGTCATGCTGAGGAAGGTTAAACTGTTCAGGCGGACTCCCAGGTTTAGTTGGATTATATATCTGCAGAGGCAAAAGCTTTATTGTTCAACACTGTGATAAACCTACTGTGTGTAGATATAAGCACGAATGTACATCATACTCAAGAGGTACTAAGTTACTGGGCCAAAGAAGATGTCATATGTATGAGGTGAAAGACTCAGTGGCATCATTTAAGCACCCATAACTTCACGAGAAGAACAAGAAAACATCCTCAAAGATGTTTTGGTTTTTATATGTCTAACAGTATGCGCGCCCTGTTTGGAAAGTTTGAATTGTATTGTGTACACGCTGGATCCAAGCACAGGAGCAGACAACTAGGAAAATGCTTTTTGCTAAGTAACTGATTTGAAGAATTAACAGCAGGTGCACTACTAGCACATTTTGAATGCACTGTTGACCAACATATTGTCTGATTAAAAACTACAGTACATGATGTAAGATTGCTCTGTGGTTGGCACCACAGTGGCATATACAGGCCAATGTTGTGGCAATACTTCTTGTCAATAAAGTGTTTACTTGTAACAAAAGCACCTTTAGTATGTATTGTTTGAAATCCTGCATTGGCTGCAAATCAGTAGGTGTGTTTTGTTTGTTTTGTTGTTTAAAGGCCACAGTGGACACCATCTTTCAAAATTTCAATTTCTGCAATACTTTGGTTGATGACCAAATACCAGCAAAACATATTACATTCTTATCAGCCTGAGCTGTACTTTTTGTTAAGTGCTAAATAGCCCAATGATTAACATTTTGAGATCAAAAACAAAAGAACAAAAATTTTACCTGCTAAACATCAGCATGTTAGTATTATTATTGTAAGTTTGTTAGCATTCTGGGGTATCTAAAAGCACCACTGTGCCACTTACACGCAGACTCTTCTTTTCTGAACAGGGATCGGGGTATTGGGCTTGAGTAAGTAGCTTGATGACTGAAACTCTGTGTAATTAAACTGCATTGTTATATAAAAGTATTTTGCTAACAGGTTTAAGCTGTCATATCAAAAACAAATAGCCTACAGTATCTTACTGTTCATTTTGTAGCATTGATTTCCCCATTGTTTCCTTTATAATGCATATTATAATCTGATGAAAGAAAGCCAAGATATGTTTAGATCTCACTAATGCAGTTAATGTAATTGGACTTGTTGCTATCTGAATTATCATTATTTCTCAAGTCATATGTCTATGTGTATATATAGACCTTCCTTTCTGGTCCACCCATGTCTTGTACCAGGAACTGTGAGTCATGTCGTGTTATATATTTATATTTTCTGTTAAGATATTCTTGCTTTTTCCCTTGCATTAGATGTGCTAATAGGTGGACTGTCTCATCTTAGTGTTGAGAGTGCGTGACATTTACTTTTGTTTATTCTTTACCTGCTATACCTTCTAGATAGCAGCTAACGACTGCTGCGGGGATCCAACCGTCATGATAAACGTTTCCAACACCTCATTGTCTGATGAGGAAAAACATCTCTGAAATGAGTGCACTGCAGCCTGAAAAGCCTTGTCTGGATTTTTGTAGCAGTTTCACTTACCAAGCACTCTGCCAAGAACTAATGATCTGATGCCATTGAATTCTACATCAAATGTCAGGTTAAAGTCCTCTTTGTTGTTCTGGTCAATCTGAAAGAAAATGAAAGGTTTCACCTCAGCATCACTGGAGGGTAAGTAGTTTTTCTCAATTTCTTAAACACTATAAGCAGGCTATTGAACTAAAATTTCAAAACCATAACTCCATTTTTCAAAAACCACACCCATCTACACACAAATCCCTTCATTTCTCATTGCCTACACCATGCAGTCATTGAGAAAGCACTTACATTCAATATTGCTTACTCAATCAGCACAGGTTGAGCTCAATTAGCACTCAGCTACCCAGGTGGAAACACAAACAGTCAAAATTGATAACACACCAATCAGAACCTTCAATAGATAAATAATAATAATAGATAAAAGGGCCAGAGTCAGTTCATTCAGTTTTGGTACAATAGATCTAAGGGGAGACCAGAGACAAGGAAGAGGAGGAGGAGGAGGAGGAGGAAGAGCAGTATGGAGAGGAGGAAGAGGTGAGGGAAGAGGAACAATAGGAGTTGGAGGAGGAGGAGTAGGGAGGAGAGGAGGAGGAGGAGGAGGAGGAGGAGGAGGAGGAGGAAGAGCAGTATGGAGAGGAGGAAGAGGTGAAGGAAGAGGAACAATAGGAGTTGGAGGAGGAGGAGGAGGGAGGAGAGGAGGAGGAGGACAAGAATCTCTGGCCTGTCCCAGACCAAAGACAGGATGCTGGGGCAGAATATTTTTTTGTTTGGTGTGTTGTACTGTACAGCACACTAAGGAAAAAAAATGTGTGCAAATGTGCAAATGTATACATTTGTTATCCTTTTTGTTGTATTCATCGTTTTTGTAGTATTGTTTTGAATTTATCTCACCAGTGTGTACGACTGTGTTGTGCTGTGAGTGTGTGTTTTTGAGGGCTTGTGTTTATGTCTGAGGGCAAAGTTTGGTTTTTCAGCAAGACTGAATGCTTTTGAGTGGAGAGCTTCATTTTGGGTGAGAAGTTGTGGATTTGTGTTTAGTTTTGAGAAAGCGAGGCATCATTTCAAGAAATATGTTTAAGCAATCGAGAAAAACTGTAAAACATAACTCATCTGAAATGCAAAGAATTACACATTTAGGCAGAACAGTTCTTGTGATTTTCCTCATGATTACACAACTTGGTATATGATTTGCTGAGCCTCACCAAAATAACTATTCAACACAAAGCAAAAATGTGCAATATACCAAGATGGGTAGAAATTTTGGCTATTGTACCAACAAGACCTGAGATGAGCATTATTGAGACTGACCCCCCCAAGAAGAACGACATTATCTGTCATTTAAGCCAGTGCCCCAAAACAACATCTGTTTAGATTCAAGTGACAAATTCCTCTAGCAGCCACAGTCAGAGGAGCAAAGGAGGAAGTCAAGGGACTTTATTATAGAGCGACAACGTTGGGGTGGATTGATGGGTCATGTCAGACTTTAATAAGAGAGACTGCTGTTTGTCTCCCACTTCCCGTTTCCAAAGTCAACATTTTTAATGACATAGATCACACAACAACCTTATACCCAGTCTTTAGGTTAGAGTCAACTTAATGAATGCGGTGAATCAACCACAACATGTCTTTGAATCAGGTGCCCCAAGTTACCATAATGTATTAAACAGGGACCTGCCAAACCGAACTATGCATTTTAAGCAGGAGGATATAGTACCCAAAACTAGCAGAAAGAGTCTTATTTTAAAGGTATAAGAAAAAGCACTTTGAGATGTGTATCCAAGTTGCCAATCACATGTTTGTTTCTACGGTTTCACTGCAGCTCAGCCTTTATCATCTGCAGCTCGTCCCTGCTGTCTTCTTATAGCTTCTCCTGCTGGTAGCTGAAGTCAACTGACAGAAAGGATGCTGAGAAAACCAGGGTGACTCAGGGTTTAGTACTGACTGGGAGAAATATTTCCGTCTGTTGTGTGTGTGTTACCTGCACAGAGACGGTGTCTGCAAGTCTGCTGATGGTAACAGCATGTAGCTGTCCATTGGCAAGGTTCCTCACTTTGCTCCTCAGGATGTCAGCATCTTTGCTGCTGTCCAGTCTGTATCTCACCTCCAGCTTGTCTGCACACACAAAACAAAACAACACACTGCTATAGACTCAAACATAGAAGGACAGGCAAATTAAATATTTTTGATACAAAATTTCTCAAAAAACTAACTTTTATTATTATTAGGAAAATCTAACGTACTGTGGAAAAAAACGTGATAAATAATAAAGAACATAGAAATTAGTTCTTCTTGGTCATTATAAAAAATGATGAACAAAATATTAATAACCATTAACGGTTCTTAATCTATACATTGAATATTCAGGATTTTCACTTTCAGTTTTATAAATTCCTAAAAGCCACCCAGTTACTATGTAGCAACAAACAGAACCACTAAAATTGAGAAATATATTTTGTTAAATCTGTCCTTGTACCCGTTGTCCACTTTAACAGAAATGTATTTTTAGAGACCTGGATGTTCCAGGGCAACAGAAGATAATTAATACACAACAAATAATTAAATATTTAGAAGATTAGTGCCAAGTACTGCCAATAATGGTATACAGAATCAAGTTAATTTATGATTGAGGCTGTGTGGATAAGACATACAGGAAAAGGCTGGAAAGCATACTATGTTCCATTTCAAAGTGCAAATGCATAATAGCTACATGTAGAGCAAATCATATCAGCATATCTTCAATTAGAATTAGAATTGTAAATGCATGTTATCCAGGTGAGACCACAGTGTGATGTGACTAGGAAGAAGAGTTTCTATATATACAGTTGAGGCATATAGCGAGAGCAGGGGTGAGTGTTGAAGGACAGAGGTTTTCCCAAGTTCTTGAATCATGCATTATTAATTTTTTCAGCTCTATTAATTTTTTTTAACATTTAACACCTTGACTTTTGTGCAACACACCTATGCGAGGAGAAGAGACAGAGAAAAGTGAGAGGCAGTTTTGCAGTTTGTTCACATGTAATGACCATGATTAACAAGTCACAGGAGGTGTCTCCGCCGCTGGCGTAGAGACTGTCAGAAAGCGTGTAGGTGGTGAATCAGATGATTTCCACATGTCCTTGTTTTCCTACTGAAGTCTTTTAGTTTCAAGAACAGATGTTACATCTGGTCAATCTAAAAAGTAAGATAAAATATTTTTAGCAATTCAGATCTCAACAGTTCTCTAGTTCTCTTAATGCTTTCAAATATAATACATCAAAATGATTTAAAGGGCAATACTTTTCAGTTAACAGTGTATAATGTCCAGCTTGTGCTCCACTAGCGCATTATTAATTGACATTTACAGTATGGGGACAGATGACTGACCTATTGAATAAAGAGAACTCGAAATAGACATTAGGCAAAAACCAAAGTACAATACAATTTTACTTTAACAAAAGAAAGAGGGACAAGAAGTTATCGTTCACCATGATAGATTAGTAAATCCAGTTACATATCTCTTCCAGATTCAGATGCACTAAAACCACCAAAATGATACTTTAAAGTATAAGGCAGCCAATATTTTTTATTGTAAATTAATTTCATAAAAAGACCAAAACCATCAGTGAGTTAATCTGTCTCTCAGTACTTATACAAATACAGATAATAAAACTTTTCTCTGGCACTCAAGCGCATTGGTTCCTACTGACTTCTTTATAAAGAGGCAATGTGGAATTGATTCACTCAGCTTAACAGTCTGGCTCATTGCTGTGTTTTTAATAGTTTTTGGATGACTATATATAGTTTAAAACTTCAGGGTGGTACCTCTACACAGATGCAGCTACACCTTTAATTGCTAACAACACAGCCAAACATCAATCAACCCAGCTGCTCACAGTGTTAGCGCAGAGTTTTATCACCAAAACAAACCTGTTCCTGAGTCTTGATGGGATGCTTCAGTTTTAATGCAGCTGACTGATCGTCATCATGGCAACTCTAATGACCTGCTGGCCATCAGCTTCCTCCAGTCTGGGTTATTAAAACAGCCTCTTCATAGTCTATTTACAGCTAATCTAGGCAGAACCCCGTTTTCAATAGGTTCATCAGCTTAGTTGTCCTTTCCAATTTGAATGACCTGACTTGCCACTCTTCTGGGTGATTAAACACTGAAGTGAATAGCAGCAGAGGAGAGGAGAAATGGATTAAAAGTAAGAATAAGGAGAGCAGAAAAAGAAAACAGAAAGGAGTTAGAGCAGATGAAGAAGAGGGGTGACAGGAAGTTTACTTTAGGAGAAGAGCAAGGACTTACCACAATGTCTTGACTCACATAGCTGTGCCTTCAGTGTGTTGTTGATCAACTAGGACATAATGTAGTAGCTGATGCATAATACAATAAAAATGCAACAAAATATGCCTCTGCTTTGAAAATGCAATAAAACCTGTAATTTTAATGAGGTGCTGGATAACAAGATGTCAGGTTGTTTCATTAATTAGTAATTAGGTATACACTATAATGAATGCAGTCATCAATACAGTAAATCCTACCTTTATGAGGGTTATAATGTTGTTTTTGTTGAAACTGGTCTGAGGTGTTTTTTCAATTGTAGGATTATTTTGAAGGATGTAGTTGTAGATGTAATTTGTGGTGCTGTTTAACTGTATTTTTTATTCTACCCTCAATGATATAAATACTGTGGACAATATAATTGAAATACCTAATTTCAGCTGACAACTGAGTGTACACATACTGTACATTTTCAACTTGTGTTCTTATGTCGACACTGAGGTACGTATCTGAAGTTATTATATTCTCTTTTTCATACGTCATCCTATTAATATTTAAGAAATGTGTCAAACACCTTATGAAGTCAGAAATGTTGGACAATCTTCCATATGACATTATATATATATATATATATATATATATATATATTTTTTTATGTTACCATGTTTTGTTTTGTGTTGAAGTAATTTAATCCAACAGTTAAGATAATATCTTTCTACAGAGCATCACAATTAAGCAAAACAAAGTCAGACAAAAACAAATTGGGAAGTTGTCATATGTCAAACTATTCTTCTTTCATGTTAATTCAGAGAATCTATAGAGCCACTAAACATGAAACCATAATTGCCCCATGAATACTACTGCTACACTGGAGCATCTGTGGAGCTTGTTTACATGGTAAAGAAGGGAGAAAAAAAGCCTCCTTTGTCCACTGGAGAGAAGATTAACTTCATGATGATTCTTAAGGCCAAGTTGTATGATCAAATACAACAGAGTAGCCATCAACAGAGGGAAATAAAGTACAGGTAATGCCTCCTGCAGACTACACGACTTTCAGCGTCGGCTGATCGTCATGCCGTTCACACTACACAACTTGCCGTCTTGAAGTCGTTGTGGCGTTCACACTACGTGACTGATCGGTGACAGGCGGCCGGACAGTACACGAGCTGAGAGCGGCTGTGTCACCCGACGGCTGGTCTCCAAACCACGTTTTGACAAGAAAACACACATGAAATGAGAAAAGGGAAATAACGCCAACCTACACACGAAACAGCTGTTGTTTGTTATTATAAAGATAGAAATTATAAAGACAAACAATATGGGTGAAAGAATGGATTAGCACATACAGGTAGCAGGGATTGTCTGAGCTACAGAGAGAGCTGGAGGTGAGTAAAAAGGGTTTTGCGGTGAAAAAGTAGCTGCTTGCTCTCATTGGCTGGATTCGGCTGACTCTTCCAGATATTTGGCATGCTACATATCTGGCAGACGTCGGCGATGTGTCAGAAATGTGTCGGGGAGCTGTTTTGATGCATTGTTGTGTAGTTCACACGTAACTGGCAACCGCTGATTTACCCCCGATCACAGCCTGATGGTCACCGAGCTCGCCGAGTGGCAAATCGAAAAATCGTGTAGTGTGAACTGGGATTAAGAGGATCTGAGTGCTCACCATGCTTGTTAAGCAGCAGGGCCAGGTACTCTCTGTGGTAGGAGCTGACGTAGAGGAGCAGAGCGGGACTCTGGCTGGTCCTGAACCTCAAGGAGATGTTTTCTGCTCTCAGGGTCATGTCAGAGTAGATGGATGAGGGCAGAGCGCTGCTGTTCCTGTTCAGCTCGTTCAACACCGGCTCCTTCAAGGTGTAACTTACGGATGTTCCTGACTTGAAGCTGGCTGAAACCTCTGCAGGGGGTGAGACAGTGTTACTTCATTTGTAGCTGCTTGGTAAGCAGTTATGTTGAACATGTGGCTAAAATATGAATATCCATTTGAATGAGTGTATATTTTGTATGTCTTCACATTAAGTTCATTTGCCTTTACAGTCTGTACGGTACATGACACCCTCTATCCTTAGACCCTACCCCAAATGTACCTTTAACTGGGGGGGGATCACACTGCAAAAACTAATCTTGCAGGCTACGGGGGCTGTATCACTGATTCATATAAAGTATGTACAGTACCTCAGCAGCACTGACAACATCTACAGTAATTAGTGAACTCATCAGCCGAAGGAAAACCAGATGACAGGTAAAATGCAAAATCTGGCTGTTAATTATAACACAGTCGTGTATCAGAGTTGTGATTTCCGTCACATATATATATACCTGTGGAGCGCCAACAAGCAACACAGCTGGGCTTGTTAATTATTGAATATGAGGCTGTGTTACTGTGCTGATGTGATGACTCAATGTTCCTGTGATAGCTTAAATAACACGAAGTCTAGGTGTCTAGTCTTAAAACAACTTAAAACAACTTCTGACAGAATGTCTCCATAAGGATGCCCAACAGACTGACTTTACAGAAAGTAATATGAGAAACATTTGTTGCTTTCTATTTTAGTATCATATGATTTTAAAAGTCAAAAATATTATTGAAGAAATTCTCTGTTTCTGCACTAAATAGACAATGATGGTGGAAAACCTCTTAAATAAAAACGTTGGAAAACGTTATTACATTATATTAACCTTCGTATTTACCATCAATATTAGAAAAGTAATTGGACAGACTAATAATTTGTAACTACAATATGAATTAGAAATATTCTGACACATTCAGGCATGCTATAAACATAGAAGAGAAATTATATTCTATCAAGTACACCACATATGATTAGCAGCTGTGTACACAGTGGTGCAGTGTGCACAGAATGACTTTAGGGCTCCTGTATACAGTATATGTGTATATTAGCTCTTTAATGTGTCTCTCCTTGTAATTGTGTATGTGGTTTATTTATAGACCACTTTCAGGTGCTGTAATACATATTCAGATGTTGGAGGTCAGCTGCTGTCTTCATGGTTCAGTTCTACATTTTACCATGGACTGAACTCTCCTTCTATAAATAAATTTGCATTCAGATAATGCCAGTTTGTAAGGTAGCTAACTGTGGTATCGGCTTCCTCCTAAACTTCAATACCTAGAATTTGTTACAGCATTCAATAAGGCCCCAATATCCCCAACATTTCCCACCAGCTCACTGTTAAAGTTTTGAAACTCAACTGTGCAGATTTTGGAAGTTGGGTTCACTATAAATTCTAACTTTAGCTATGATAAATTGTAGCTATAGCTGCATTTCAACATTGCTTACCTGAGTTCTCAAATTACCACTCATACAGATTTTCACAAGACTATAAAACGATGGATAAGAGCTCAAGACAAATCTTCTTTATCAGAATGTTTCTGTATTGACCTACACAAACACCATGCCAATGTTTTCACATTGGCTATTTCTTCTGGTGTCTTGTTTTTCATTTAGCCATTATTTCGACATATCTACTTCTGAAGTGTGTCTCCATTGTGGCACCAGGTGCTGCAGCAAGATTAGTGATCCATACCTCTGTCGCAGAAGGCTCCAGTGTAAGCAGAAGGGCCGCAGTCACAGGAAAAGCTGTTGGGTCTCTCCACACAGCGACCCTGGTTCTGGCAGAGTGAGCCATAGCTGCTGCAGTGGCCTGGACATCCTGCCTGAACCCCGGGGGTGATCTTTGCTCTCTCCTCCAGGTCCAGGGTGATGCCATTGAGCTGTAGAGAGCGAATACAACCCCGAAAACCCTTCTGCCTGGACGCTGTGCCTCCTGAAGACACACACAAAAGATAAACCAGCATACTTGAAGGCGTTTTTTCTTATATTTCTGTGTAGGCTACACAAATCCTCATATTTAAGAAGCTGGAACCAGAGAATGTCTGTGAAAATGCGTTTTTTGCTTGATATATGAAGCAATTATTCTATTATCAACATTTTTGTAATTAATTTTTGATAAACTAATCGATTAATTGGCTATTATGTCAGCAGTACATACTGTATGTTTGAATCACCCTTTTCCAGTTTGCACTTTTTCAAAGCTGATGCTTCTATTGCCAGTAACTGATACTTTGAGCAAACATGTTTATTCAGCCTAATTGTGACGATTTAAACAATTCTCCATCATATTGTTTTGAACTGAATTGGTGAGCTTGTGGAAACATTTTGATCTTTGGACAAAATAATGAAACCCACTCAAATGTTCTTTTTGCTGTGGGTTACAGCAGCTCATTATAGGATCATACTTTGTTTTTGCATGTTTTAGCTCAGCAACAAATCATGATTACTTTATATTACAGCTGACCTTTTTTCAAAGCAAAGTGTAGGGTTTCATGCTTTTAAAAGCATTTCCTACTTTCCAGGCAGCCATTCATTTGCTTACATTTCTGAACAATATGAAAGCCGACCTTGTAACTTCCTCTTGTTGTGTAATCCATCACAGTGAATATCAAGTCTTAATTATTTTCAATTTACAAGTTCCTTTAATGTTGCATGCCAATGCAGCTTAAGTGCAGATTGATTTGAAAGGTCTGCACCGCTTAACCTCATAGCAGTGATATAACTTTATCAAAAATAAATGCATGTTCTCTATAATGGATTAACCCAAGCATGTTTTAAAAGTCTTTCATACTGTACAAAAATGAATAGAAAGCAAATCACATCATCTATATGATCAACTGTGGAGCAACCCAGACTGATACCTGATTTTAATATTAACATCTGAATATACTTTGTGCCTCCAGACAGATTTGTCACCACACTCATAGCGAATTTTTAAAATGATGAGGTGATGAAACACAGTGAAACCCAAACAGGCAGGTGAGAAATTCAAGGAGTTGATTTTTACTGGCTGTTTGCCAGCTGAGCACCATGCTGATTGTTGATATCTGGAAAGTTGGCGAGCTGTCAATCTGTCTGACAGTCTGCTTGTCCTGCCTGGCTGGCTGACTGTGACAGGAAAACATTTTCCCCTTTCTAGGGCAGAATTTAAACTCCAAAAGTTTTTGTTTTCTGACTTCTTGCATTACAACCTCCAACTGTCCTCAGAGTTCAGGCTCTGCAACATTATAATTGTCTCAGAGTGCCAAACTGGCAACCTCAAGACTGTTATGATGAGATAAACAGCTTTCCAGGACTGCAGAGATGATGAGGTTCATATCAGGGCCTGGAGTTTCATCAGAAGCTGTCAGGAAAGGACTACCTTAACTAATGTGTTCAAACACTGTACCAAGGTTATTGCAAGGAAACTGACCACTGTAAAAGCAACTTTTCACTGCATGGCCCTAAAGCGTTTTTCTATCAACTTGTGAGGATTTTCTCTCAGTCCATTAAGGTACTACTTCCATAAACTCTGTACCTCACATTGCTAAGGTTTAGGAACAAGGATTGTTATAGGCTGATTGATCTCACTTAAATCTGTCAGTTTCAACGGGGATCAATAACCAGAGACAGCACTGCAATATGTTCCCTGTGTGAATTGGGATGGGAAGCAGAGCTTTAATGCAGAGTTTTGCTGAAGGGTTTAGATTCTGTTACTATCTGCTTTCTTCAGGAGGCTCAGAAGAAACAAAGATGTAAAATTTCCAGCCTCCCTGAGGTCAATGAAAATGTCTCGTACAAGCCGTTTTTTGTGTGGTATGTGGGTGAAAGAGAGAAGGACACAGAGTGCGTAAAAGAAAGAAAGTGAGAGGAAAGCAGAGACAGAATTTTATAACAATTCAAGAGGTCTTGAAGTGTACAATAAGAAAAAGCCTGACAGCCACTACCGCCAGCACTCTGCGATAATAACAGATACCACATGGTTCTCATGGAAGGCAGAAATGGAGGAAAGGTTAGTGGAAATGTATCCATGACTGCTGATGTATCTTAAGAAATTATATGTATGGTCAAAGAGATGTTGTAAATATTATATAGTTTTTTTTTCCTTTGTTGAAGTCTAAAAAGGCAGCTTTTAATAGCATTTTAAGTGTGCGCAGTAGCCCTACAGGAACACACTACACGCACAGACACACACACCTATAAATAACTGGCTGTTCAGCTGCAGGTGGATGTGCCCATCAGCAGGAGCCTCCTGCGTGGCAGCAGGGAGCTCGTCAAGGCGAAGTGATGCCTCTTTAACGTTACGCTCAGCTCGAATGCGATGCCACCTGTTGTCGTTCAGCGGGAAGTCAGCCTTCACACGAACCTCCAGCGGACCGTTACCCACGTCAAAGGAGAAGAGGACCTCAGTGGAGGCTGCATCAGGGAAGGAAGAAAATCAAGATTTACTGTACATATTCAACAAAGTCCCTTCTGAGCACTCATACATTCTGTCTTCTGTCTCTCCCTGCAGCTTGTTCTCCACTTGTTCCACCTGTAGACAGGCCAGGTGTTGGCCAGTGATCTGCTATCAGCACACACGCACACACACAAGGGGTGTGCTCAGGCAAAGATACAGTATGCACAGGGTATGATTTGAGTTGTAGCTGTTGTTTTTATCATTTCCTAATTGCTGATCGTATATTTATCTATATTTGTAAAGCAAAACCTACAGTAGGTCTGACCCCCAATAGTCGAAGAATCGATGCTTTGATGGAAGGAGCCTGATTGGCAATCTCACAGTTGATGCTTCGCAGTGAAACAAGGATCATGCCATTTTGGCGATATGGGGGTGCTCAACGTCTGATTTTACATAGAACCACCACTTTTCTCGGCAATAAGTTAATATACAGCCTATTACAATATACATTTCAACGTTTAATGCTGTAAATAAACATGTAAAAAGAATAAAGCTTCCAATAAATGTTTTTAAAGTGCATAAATAAATCCAAAATTGTAACCCTAACCATGGGCGTAGCGTGTGTGGTGGCGAAAGAGGAACACTAGCTGAAGAGACTGAGACCCTCACTGGTGCTTTGCCGAGTTGTCCACACCTCGCGGGACTTTTGGATGATTTATCACCATTGATGAACCACACAAAGAATATTTTATCATTTTTAAATAGCCGGCTACTTGAAATACACCCGCAAGGAACTGCGACGTGCATGCAGTTGTCGGCAGCACGGCATGCACGTGAAACTCACACATGACTGGTGAATGACAGGCGAGAGAGAGAGAGAGAGAGAAAAGGGTCAACAAAAAGCCTCAGTTTAGCTGGAAATTTACAGCGTAATTTGAATGAATAGAGAATGCAGCTCTACTGTGTGTCTCAAACCCCCTCTTGTTACCCTTTTACCAAGGATCAAGCTCACTCCGAAGCCCTTATAAACCATCTGTGGAATAAAAATATGAAGAGATTTTTGTAGAGCCAGTTGACACATTGACACATGAAGTCTACTTTGATAATATATGCAAACTAAAGTAATGTATCACTCAAGAAAGCAAACACAAACTGACACCTACAAGCTCATACAGATGTCACTCTAAAGAGCAGTTGTCATAACAAGCGCTTACAGTGACAGCAGGAAATCTAAACAGCTGTAGATATGACAGCTACAAAGATAAAACACTATTTTAGGTAGTTTTTACAGCAACCAGCTACAAGGACGCCATGCTATTCACCAGCTACATTCAGTGAGTTTACATGCTGTCAACCTGAGTTCTTAATTATCATTGCAAAATTTCTGCTGGATATATTCTGGGGACAAATGCATGTTTCCTGATCCACAAATGTAATGCCTTTCTCACTTTTGAATTCCCACATGAATGCTTTGAGAAGTCAGCCTTGTTTTACCCCAGAACTTAAATGCAACATGCATTTGTGGATAAGAGGCTGGGAAAAGGTTCTCAAAACTCCAAACAAAGGTAATTATAGTTTTTAATTTTTCATCAGTTTCTATATTAATTTCGTTTTGACTTTTTGTTTTTAATTTCAGTTTAGTTTTAATTAGTTTTTAACGTGGGTTTGCTAGTTTAGTTTAGTTTTTATTTTTGGAAAATGCTTTTATTAGTTTTAGTGTTAGTTTTTAACATTAAAATACAAGCACAACCATAAATATCTGTGAAAAGGTGTGAAAAGGGACACCCTTTGTTAAGCTTGTACAAACACTAATAAAAAAAAATACACACACACACACACACACACACACACACGTGCTGGTCATATAATTAGAATATCATCAAAATGTTGATTTATTTCAGTAATTCCATTAAAAAAGTGAAACATGTATAATGTATACATTCATTCCACACAGACTGATATATTTCAAGTGTTCATTCCTTTTAATTTTGATGATTATAACTGACAACTAATGAAAACCCCAAAATCAGAATCTCAGAAAATTAGAATATTGTAAAAATGGTTCAATATTGAAGACACCTGGTGCCACACTCTAATCAGCTAATTAACTCAAAACACCTGCAAAGGCCTTTAAATGGCCTCTCAGTCTAGTTCTGCAGGCTACACAATCATGGGGAAGACTGCTGACTTGACAGCTGTCCAAAAGACGACCATTGACACCTTGCACAAGGAGGGCAAGACACAAAAGGTCATTGCTAAAGAGGCTGGCTGTTCACAGAGCTCTGTGTCCAAGCACATTAATAGAGAGGTGAAGGGAAGGAAAAGATGTGGTAGAAAAAAATGTACAAGCTATAGGGATAACCGCACCCTGGAGAGGATTGTGAAACAAAACCCATTAAAAAATGTGGGGGAGATTCACAAAGAGTGGACTGCAGCTGGAGTCAGTGCTTCAAGAACCACCACGCACAGACGTATGCAGGACATAGGTTTCAGCTGTCGCATTCCTTGTGTCAAGCCACTCTTGAACAAGACATATATTAAGACATATATTATAATATTCTTTGTGGGGTTCATCAATGGTGATAAATGATTCGAAGTATATATTTTATGAACATTTACAGTCTTTTATATTTTAATACACTTAGTAGAAGTGCCATTTCTTGACATTCAGTAAATATATGTATCAAACGCAGTTATCAGCGTTTGATCAATGAGCACAGCAAAGTGTCTGAGAAGGACCTAAAGAGGTGGATGCATAATTTGGCAGAAAATTTTTTTTAGGCTACCTGCCGAAATTTGCATCCATCTGTTTTCTCAACATAAATGACCGTTATCACCCGCGAGGTGCATACAATTCTCGGCAGGCAGGCAGAATCCTATAAAATAAATAAATGAAAACTAAGGACATGTACTCTTTCATTTTAGTTCGTTTTAGTTAGTTTTGCAAACCTACAACACAGTTTTAGTTATCGTTTTTTTGTAAAGCTCGTTTTTCTTTTTCTTTCAGTTAATAACAATGTTTTTTCATATCTACTTTTTGTTATTTCATTCATCTTCATTAACGATTATAACCTTGCAAACACGGCGTTAACTCAGTCCACATGTGTCAGGTGATCTGTGCCCACACATTCAACAATCTGTAAATAAATTATCATTAATATGCACAGCAACACAGCAAGCTTTTCTTTCAAACTGTTATTTGATAAATGATCTTGAAGTTGGAAATAATTACAAACTGACATTTACTCAAGTTGAGTTGTATTCATTTGTAAAATAGTTTTACATTTATTCAAATTAGTTGGTATTTATTTGTGGATTGGAACATGCATTTGTGAACACCATAAATTACTCCCAAACAGTCAACAGTCACAAATTTAAAAATGTTGTTTTTATTTTTTTCTCTCCATATTTTTATGTATTAAATTAATTAATATATTTAACTGGGATTCTGATTGGTTTCTTACATGTGTGCATATGCAGGAAAAAGTATGTCTGTGGCAGCAGTGTGATAGGACAAAAGTAAACATTATTACTCCAAGCTGTGTGTCTTTGTATATTTACATTCAAAGTCTTACTAAAACAAACAGATACTTAAATAAATAAGTCAAAAACTCAGATATAAGCACTGAAGAGGCCTTTCAAGGTTCAAGGGGAGAAATCAATTGCAACCTTAATCCTTATTTCCTAGGTAATTTACTTTGTGAGTAACGTGTACGTCTGTCAAGACCAACTACAATGGTACATTAGTCTTCTTTGGCAAACACATAAAAAAAGACAACACTTTATCAAGAGCTGTTGTCACAAACGACAGCTACAACAGACACAGTATGTGAACTATCATAAAATGTTATAGTATAATGATATTTCAACACCAATACACAACAATGATAGAGAGAACTATCAACTCTGTTGGTTATAAAGGAAATGTATTGCAGCCAGACCAATGCCACTGAAGTGATTTCCCTGAGGAAGGAAAATATATGGCGGTATTTTTTTTACGGTTGAGAAGGAGGAGATGTGGAGTTCAATCCAGTTGAGAACCTGAAAGTTTGACTTACAGTTGAGTTCGATCCGAATGAAGTCTTTGATGCCCAAGTTTTCCAGGAAGACACCAGAGGATGAAGTGGTTTTGAAAAAGAAGGAGATGTCTGCGCTCAGCTCTCCGTGGAATGTGGGAAAGTGGAGGTACGACGTCTCCTTGTCAAAAAATGCAGCGTTCCAGACATTTTCTGCAAAGAAATGAGACCATATTAATCAAGGTCTTGAAATTACAATTGTAAATTAGGGGAGTGTTTAAATGTTGCAAATGTATATAATAGAGTCATGACACACAAGCGTCATTTCAAAACTAGACTTACTGTCTCCATGGCAACGGAGATGCCCCACCCTGTAGGCGCTTTCGGAGCCAGGCCTCTGGACGTCACCCAGCACCAAAGATCTGACAGGGAGGGTCTCCTTATGGGTCAGTAGGCCTGAGTCATTCAACCTGGAAGGTAGGGGAAAGGACAAAGCACAAGAAGGAGAGGAAGAAGCTGAATTGAAAAAGGAAGCCAAAGGCTAGAGGAACAAAAGAAGAGGAGAGCTAAGAAAGAGAAAGCAGAGCATAAGAAGTAGTGTTATCATCATGATCAGGGAGAAAAAAGGGAAATTCATCATCACTATTTCCACCAGCAATAAAACTCACATAAAATAATGTGAGAGTGTACTGAGCATTGCAAACATAACCATTAGTATACATTACCTGTCTACGAGTACATTTGATTTAGTATCCTACGGTATTCTTATGAATAACATTTTTAAATCAACAGTGTTGTTGTTATCTTGTTTTTGTTGAGATAAGTAAATATACAATACCACTCAGTGCGGTCAGCATCGCAGTTGCAGTGATGTTTGGGGTCCACGCAGTTCTCCTGCAGGCCGCATGCGCACTGCTGGCTGCCGGGTGAAGCCCCACCCCAATAAGTCTGCACCTGTCCTACACCTGGACCCCCTACCCACCAGCTGAGTGGAGGGCCGTCTGCAACACAAAAATACATAACATTTGTGTCACTTGTCAGGGCACTGTACTTCCCCAGCGTTAAGCGTTACTGCAACACGCCTAATCTAAACCTAAAATGTAATGATTATAGATCCCTACCAGACATGTTTTAAGACATCTAAAAACACTCTGCTTGGAGTAATCTGTCTACTATGACTTTTCCACAAAAAGTTACCATTTAAATTCAAGCACGTCTACCTAATTGTAAAATGCAGAATCGACAAATGTGCAAATATTGTTCATTTGACAAATTCTGTGATTAATAAATGTAAAATAATAAACCACAATAATGATTATTTAACATTTCTTAACAGGCTTTCTGATCACAATATACACAAATTTATCAGGTACATTTAGGAGACCTATTATGCTTTTCCATTTCTTTTTTATGATTTATCGACAATGTTACAATGTTCATGTTAAACATGGTCAACGCTTCAAATAATGAGGTTAAAATATCTAAAAGAAATCCCTGTGAGCCAAAACCTCAGATTTCCTCCTGTTCTGAACGCTCTGTTTTGAGCTGCTTTTTGTACCAACAGCTCGGTTCCATATAGGGTCATTTGCTCCCTCAGTCTGGGCCTTTCCGAAACTGCTTGCTACTCCTCCCTACCTACTTCCACTCTGTTTGCGCGTTCATGCGGAGGGTGCACCACATTGAGTGCCATCCGAAACAACTGAGGGCGGAGTGGTAGTGGGTTGTTAAACACTCAAATGCCAAGTAAGCACCGATTCTGGCTTGTTGAAGGTGTGTAACACCCTTTGCTGCACGATGGGGGACCTCACCTTCCGTGTGACTTCGCCGGTTAACATGTAGGATTTTTTAATTCTGAATCACCATTCACAGGTAAACAACATTGTGTATAATAAAAAAATACAAAGGTTGTTTTTATTGAATCGTAAGCCTATTCATCTTATATGAAAATCTTCAGCCAAAACAAAATAGCCTACAGTAAACAACAGAACAATAGAACATGACACAACGGGATACACAGTGGGATCACATAACAAGCAACAAAGGAATTAAAGAAAAATAGTTAAGTCTTTATACAACTGTTTTAAATTCTTCAGACTATATAATTCTTCAATATAATATCTGATTTATATTGAAATGTTGTATTAGTGAATGTAATATTTTTCATATAAGACAGAGGTTTAAATATATAGCCTAAGCTTTCTTTACAATGAATATAAATCTTTTCATAAAAGAATATAGCCTAATTTATTTTTTGTGATGTCTAAAGTCACATTCTTAAAGAAATATTCAGCACAAACAGAAACACGGAATAAATGACAAAATGCTTTCAGTTTTGTTATTGCGAAAAAACAACAACTGTAAAATAAAAGTAAATAAACTGTTGTTTATTTCATACAGGTATTGTAGCAGTCAGTAGGCCTAGGCTGCAGCTGTAACGTCAGATCCTATTTACGCTGGGGGGAGAGGGTAGTTCGTCCAAAACCCTAGGTAGTTCAATTTGGCTGTGAGGGTGACTCTGACCAGAGTGGAAGTGGCGAGGGTCTAGTTTCGGAAAGGCTCTCTGTCTGTATCGCTCAGCAGCAAAAACAGCCTGGTAACATGCTTCAGGTCTTGGCCAATCAGAAGACAGAGGGCTTTGTGAGGGGGGGGCTTAAAGAGACAGGAGCATCTGCAGCTTGTTTCAGATAGGGACTGAAATGAAGGCCTACATGAAGAGCCAGTATAAGATAGAAAATGCTTCTTTTCTTTAACTTTAAATCATGCAAAGCTACCATACAGGAGTCACATAACTTCAATATAGGACTGGAAAAGCAGTATAATAGTTCTCCTTTAAACTAATGCAATCTAATACAACACTCCTGGAATAAATCCAACCATGATGAAATCATCAGGGCTATTTTCTCAGACTTTAGAAAGCCACAGAAGACATTTTACAACTGTTTGCAGAGGCTGAGTAGTACTCTCCAACATAATGTGTAAAAATTAGTAGAATGGACATCTTAAGATTATGCACAATTTTATTTGGAGTAGATTGCATCATCAGTGACATAGACTACAGCAGTGTCCTTCCCTGTGTTTATCATCAAAGTTTGTCAAGAGCCAACTTACTCATTTTGGAGAATTCCCTCCCAGTTCCTACTCCAATTTCCTTTGTAGGATTGAATGTGGTGTCACAGAATATCAACAAGATTTACCCGGTGTGTTGAGTAGGCGTGACTTCCTGCAGTGGTAAGTCACTTCCTGTTCGCAGTGCTCTGAATGACTAATGATGGCCGCCAGCTGCTCCTCCTCAGATGCATATTCAAAGTAAGCTGAGTGCTGATCCTTTCCTGGCGACGGTCTGACTCTGGTCAGTTCTGTGTTATTGTGTTGGATCACCATCCATGTTATGTCATCTGGTAGACAGAGAAAAAAGGAATAAGGAGAAAAAAATCACAGCATGAATTTTGTATATATTGTAAATTTTCCCTTTAAGATGTTTTACTCTGCAGAACTGACAGACAGAAAAAGAGGCAAGATGAAAGAGAGAGAGGGTGTCTGTTTGATGTGTGTGTCAGCTACCTGTCATGTTGCAGTATATTAGCTGTGGTCTGATGGGTCCGCTGCCATCCACGTCAATGTTATAATACCCTGACGTGTTGCCTTTGTGTTTGTACGCCTCACAGGACTGCTCGTATATCGCTGAGGAGAGAGAGACAAACACACAGCTTCATTGTCACCATAACAACATCACATGTATTTATGTATACATTATCTTTACTTTTGTGTGCTGTTTGGTTGAAAACTGCATTGGAAGTGCATTCACAGTGGAGATGAAAAGAGACTGTCTCAGACTTTTCCAATGCTTCTTCCTACAACAAATCCATACTGACACTCCTCTCCACAATTATCCTTTAGTACAAGGCACAATATAATATTAAATAAAAACCTGTAATTCAGTTTAAATTTTTTAAGGCAAATGCATTCTGCTTTAACATTTTATGCTGGCATACTGTAGCCAAAGTATTCACTGTGAACCCACCTGCTGACACCACTTCTTCATCTCCTTTTCTATTTTCCTTTTCACCCTTCTTTCCAAGTGAAGTACTAACCCTGGTTACCTTCCACCGCCCAACCACTTGACCTCTTGATCCAATGCCCTCTCACTTTCTTCAGTCTATTGCTCCCGACTTCCTTCCTTTCCTCACCCACCTCATCAATACCTGATTGACAACTTTAACAATGGTTGAAATGCACTCATTGTAAGTACCTTTGGATAGAGGTGTCCACTAAATAAATGTATTATAAAATGTAATTTAATATATGTAAGAAAAAACAAACAATTAGAATACACCTCAGGGGGAATTTATTGAGCCAGGCTAAGGAATAATGTGGCACATAACCCCCCTGAAACCATGTGTCCTCTTTATACTATACTGTGTTTGTACTGATTAAACAAACAAGATAAATAGTGTTAATTAGAGTTGCTGTTAGGTAGATTTTGTTACTTTTGGACAGAGCTAGGCTAGCAGTTTCCACCTGTTTCCACTCTTTATGCTAAACTAAGCTAACCCGCTGCTTGCTGTAGCTTCATACTTAAAAGACAGGTGTGAGAGTGTTATCATTCTCCTCGTGTAACACTAAGAAAGAAATCCGATATAGTTCCCTCTGTCTGTAGCCCCCCCTGTTTGGCCTGTATGGTAATGAATTGACGATGCTCAGTAGGGCTGAGATTCTCACACAGAACACCAAATACATTAAGGTCATCTTGACATGCAAACAGGGCTGCTAAAGATGTCTATGACTGATATTTATCTGATGTATTGCAATTAAAAAATTGAATAAATGGGTTTGAATGCACCACCATTTCTATGTAATTAATTTGAAGTATCATTATTCATTTAGAAAAATTTAAGTAAAAAGAACGTGTAGACTTACAAACAAACATACCGTCATATTTTGCTCAAAAGGATTGGATGGTGAGAAGACATCTTTCTCTAAAGTATCTGCTTTGGTGATGAAATTGGACTATTAATGAAGAGTATCTTTAAAGTAGAGCCATATAATGTTATTTCTTAATTGTCCCTCTCTTTTAACCTTTCTAGCTGTCTTTATCTTCCTCTCTTGTTTTTACTTCCCCTCTCCCTCTTTTCAAATGGTTTCCTCAGGACTGAGACTGCTCAACTGTCGCACAGAAAATGACTGCCAGAAAGAGGTTTGATCTTAGCCTGACCCTTGTGCCACAGCAATGTGTGCAGGGACCTCAAGTTAAAAGCAGCAGGTTGTCTCATTACAGGAAACATGTGAACACGAGTGCAAACACACACACACATGTAGGTGTTTGTGACCTTTAAACAACAACAACCAGCAAAGCTTCGTGCCCTTACAGCTTTGACAGGTGGCTCCGCTGTAGCCGGTGCTGGAGCAGTTACAGTGGAAGGTGCTCCATGACTGACTGCAGCTGCCTCCATGTTCACAATGACTCGGAGAACACCTAAGTGACAAATAAAATAGTAGATATTTAGACTTCCCAATCCAAATAATCCCCTCAATCTTTCGTTCTGTTAAAGAGGCACCTTCAGTTTAACTTTATTGCTCATGACTTACATACATATTCTTTCAAGCCAACTTCGGAACAGAAACAATGTAAGACAACCAACAAGTGGATGACCAGTGGTGGGAAGTACATTTACTCAAGCACTTGTACTTTACATTAGTGTTTATTAATTTGATAACTTATACTTCTTGTTACTTCTTGTTTCTGGCTGTACTGCCTAATATATCAAGTATATGTCACCCAGTGCAACGTTATGATGTTATTACATGACAACAGGGTTACAATATATGACATGAAGCTATAAGCAATATCTTAATAGGCTTTGGTTAGACTTTTCTTTTGTTGTTGGATTTATCTTTTGAAAGAATTTGTTAATAATTATAAATAATAAAATGCTTATACTTTAATCCAGTTGGGCAGTCATAATGAAACTTAAAAAAAATAAACAGCGGCTTTGTAATTTCAAGGGCTTTTCTTCCTAAACGCTTCACACTTCTAATTGTTTGGTACATCTGACTTTATGAATATAGGATTGAGTGGGAAATGCAGAGGGAGTAAAAGCTATTTTGATTCTCCTTGTCCTTCCTTCCACAGCAGATGATGGACAGCACTTAGTCCCCATGAATGAATATGTGTAACTACGTGTTTGAGGCAGTGTGAAGTGTAAGTGCTCAGAAAAGTGTCCCTATACCAATAACGGCTGAGGCGAAGGCACTCCTAAATGTTCCTGTCATTGTAAACATCTTTCTGAGAACGCTGAATGGAAGAAAGTTCTTGTCTTCTGTGGACTTGACTTGAAAGATTCCTGTTGATCAACAGTGGTTTCTCTGATGGGAAAATAATCTTGGTGTTATTATTTTACTTCATGGACACTTTTATCATGGGCTGTGGCATCCAAAATACACACAGTGAAACAAGTTTGAGAAAACTTTGTTGCTGTTGGACTTTGTCCATCTAAATGTCAACACTGTGTTAGAACTGAGCTGGGGGCTAACAAAGGGTTAAGACATGGGAAACAGTGAGAGGAAAAAGAGAAAATTATGGAGATACAGTAGAGAAAGAGGGAGAGAGAAATCCAGAAAGGGGGATTAGGTTAAGTGCAAGATTGAAGGAGGGGAAGGAGGGTGGGAGCAACAAACGGGATATAGGTTGGGATGAATGGAGCTCAGCGGCAACTGGGTAAACATATTTGGAAGGGGAAATTAGGTCAGTGAATTGTGACTGCAGAGAGACTGAGAGAGAAAGAGAGAGCAGCATGTATTTTTAATCTTTCAGTCAGTGGGAAATACGCTGTTAGAAAAATCCTTAGTCAGCAGGCTTGTCAGATTTTTAGCACCTATTTCTTTGCTTTCCTTTTATCTAAAAGTAAGTCAGAATGGAGGCAGGTGCAGTACGTTGTATTAACTCTGCTACCTTTTGCTTTTAAATATATGCATTATAAACTCTGGCAGTCGATTGTTGCCTCGCTTATCTGCAAATGTGCATATCTTGCAGAGCGTGTCTTTTTTTCCCTGAGACTGATAAATTCACCAGTCAAGCAGTGCTTATTTCAGGAAAGTACACGGTAGGTTGAAGGTGAGGGGTTGGAGAAGTGCAAGTCAATCTTTCAAGCTGACATTTTATTGAAACAAAAGCTGCTCAGAAGATAATATGTATGTCATATACAAGTGGGCTGTAATGATTTCGAAAAAGGTCTAATGTCATGTAATGTCTGAGAGCAATGTGTTATTTCTCACACACAACACAACATTAAAATGACACAATGGAGCATGACTTGACATTTTCTGCAATACAGACAGAGAAAAAAGACATATTAGAAGCCACAGTTTATCCAGTATTTAATAATACAAAAGTGTCTAAAATATTGATTCTGTCCAACGGTGATATTGGATTTTTCAGTGTACACTATCTGTGTTGGCTCAACAAAGTCCCCAGCATATGACTCTATATGCTTATAAAATTTGATGTCCATCAAAGTTGAGTCACCAAGATTTTTTAAAATTGTGTTTAACTTTACTTTGATCTTCTTCTGCTATTTATTGCTATTAGTATCTAAAATGCACAAGTTAATCACAAACAGATGCACAAATACAGTTAAGAACAAAATCATAATTAACCAGCAGCTTCATTTGAGGTCAAATTCCCACGTTAGGTAATTTGGTGTTTCTGACTTGAGTTAAGGAAATACTCTGTATTGTGCTTTAATCACACAGTAGAACAAAAGTTTATATAGGACACTTTGAAATTGGTTTTCCCCATGGGAATAATCTGCCGCTCTTGAAAAGACCAGAACATACAAAACATCAACATAAGCAAGATGGTGTCAATATTGCCAATACATTCTTTCCACTGACACAATTTCGCAAAAATATTTCCCAACCTAATCACACACAAAGACATAAAGCCTACCAACACTAAATGTTGTATGTATGTGTGTGTGTCTCCTGGACAGTGTATCTCTGTAACAGTCCATTCGATACTGTACCACTGCTTCTCACAAATAAATGGCATTTTGAAGAAACAAAGAAAACAAAACCACATGTCATCTTAGAGAGAGAAAGCTGCACCTTATATGATGCAAGACAGACAAAAATAACTGGATTGTTTTCTTAACAAGGAAACAGTTTGGGACACATTGAGACTGGAACACTGTTGCCATAATTACTTCTGTATTCAATCCACTGCTGTCTAATAATCCAGTCACAGAGCCTTCAGAGGGAGATTAACTGAGGTTACAAAGAAAGAGTGACAACAAAATCAAACATTATTCCTCTTTTCTAAAAATGCCTTGTAACACACATATAATAATATGTGCCGAACAAACCTTTCCTGGATAAATAAAAGGTCAAAACAAATTTAGCGTTTAGCATAGCATTTGTTACGTCAGTCTCCTCTGGATAAATATTATCAAACAAATGGTTGTTTTAGGTCTTACCTATCGATGATGCCACACATGTCAATCTGCAGGTGGCTGTAGTTTCCTATCAGCCTCTGCTGCACCATGATCAAGTCCACCGGTTGGTTGTCCACAGTCAGGAGACGCATGCAGCCCTGGAAAGTCTTGAAGGGGTTCGTACATTCCTGGCTGCTCCCTTCCGCAGGGCAACCTGCACAGGAAAGAAAACAACATCTGTCAGCCAAACAAACAATACAGAGTAAGCTGTCCACCCTGAACCTGTGAGAATAATGCTTGTGTTCTTTTGTTTATCTCTCTCTTACCACCAAAGAAAAGTTGACTTCCTGTGGAAACAAGAAATGAGGGGCTGGCGTGAGCAGAGGCTCCTTCATCTCCGTCCACAGCAACAGTCACTTGTCCTCGTCTGGAGATCAGCTCCACAGAGTGCCACTGACCGTCATTCAGAGCTGAACCTGAGGACACATGCAAACAAGATACAGCATACTGTACAAAAAGATTCAGACTGTCTAAATTTTAAGTTCATGAAGGTTAAGATTTAAATCTCAGTCATTCACTTGTTGATCTCTGTAGGGAAATTATCTGGGATTACTCTGTGTCACAGGGAGGTCAGAGGCCGGGCTCAACTACCATACAATGCTGTTGAAACTGGAAATAATTCTGGCTCAAACACTCAACAGAAAGATGGACGGATGGATTACCCTGCTCTTCAGGTTTGCGGGCATTGCTTTCATATTGTCTGTTAATGGAAATTTACGTGAAGGTGTTTTTGTCTGTCCTGTCAGCTCTGTGTCTTTTAATGGATATACTGTATAAAGTAACCTTTGTAAGTGTTCAGTTTTCTGCAATTCCATCATTTAAAATAAAGACGTTCTGCTCATGCTGCGTTACATTACTAAAAACACAAGTCATTTCCTTCACACAAATGGAGACACTTATGGTGAGGAAATTAAAGATTCAGATGGAAGCTAGGGGTCAGACTGACCTGCACTGAGCTCTAGGAGCGCCTTCCCAGACTTGTGGATCTGTAGATGAAGCCTAGCTTTGCTCAGGTACAGCGAGACCACAACCCCTTGCTTTGGGAGATCAAAGGTCAGCAGCAGCCCCGCCTTGTTCCACGTCCGAAACTGAAGCCCCACCGACGTGCCCAGTGATGACGGCTCTGTCACCCCTGGCAACCAGAGGAAGCTCTGGGGGCTGGTGAATGTCATTGCAACAAAAACGGGTTCAGCACAAGAAAAGGTCACATTACCCTGAAATAAATGGAGAAGAGGAGAGGAGGAAAGATATGGAGAGAGAGAGAGAGAGAAATTATTACAGGAAAAGAGGGAAAACACGATAACGCATGAATATGAATCCTTTAGCGAGGTAGCGTGGCAGCCCTGCTGCACAGAGATCTCATCAGCAAGTCTCCTTAAAGAGCATCAGTGCATTACCATAATGATAATAGCCAGGCTTAGAATAAGCACCAGTAGACCAAACTGAAGGCACCAATGTCACAAAACAGCTTTCTAAGGTCGTAGAAGAAGTATGAGGGAGCAGAAGGGGTGAGAGACAGAAAAAGAGAGGAGGAGAGAGTGAGAAACCTAACTGTGATTAAGGGACTGGGAGCAGTTGGTCATCTCTGTATGCAGGCTCATAGTTTTGAGAAGTGGTAATTGCAGTAAGTGCACTGCCAGGGCACCAACAGGGCTATGATACATCCCAGGTTCCCTATTGGGTTTCTATTTTCAGTGGAGAATGCAACACACAGACACTTGATCAAATCTGAAAGCTCTTTGCGGGGTAGTTAAAGCTATATACAGTAATGCAGACTGAAGAGGTGAATGCCGCAGAGATACACGAACATGCCTTCTCATTTACAGTGAAAGGCGAGTAAGTGAAGAGATATTTTTCTAACTTCTTAAAATTTTAAAGTGCACTTTAAGACAACGTTTTTACTTTTTCAGAGATAAAGATTCAGAAATACATATTGTTTACTTAACCTAGCCTTTTACATTCTCACCTTTATTGTCATTTTATGTCTTTTGATCATGATGCTGCTGAACAACAGCTTTCCGGCAAAACACACAGACGAAGCGTATATTGAAACAACATATTTTTTGAGGCAGTGACAGTTGTTGATCCATAATGGACAGATATAGATTTAGTAAATATCTGGTGTGTAAGCAATAACACATTCTGAGGTGTTTCTATATATATAATATAATAGACAAGGAGGAAGCAAAGAACTCCACAAAACAAAGTGGAGTTTCTATATCCAGATAATTCACAGTGTATGACTGTTCTTTTGCCCCGGCCACTGACCAAAGTAAAACAACACATCCATCCATCTATTCATCCATCTCCAACCACTTATCCTGTGTACAGGGTCGCGGGGGGCTGGAGCCAATCCCTGCTGACATCTGGCGAAAGCCGGGGTACACCCTGGACAGGTCGTTAGTCCATCGCAGGGTAAAACAACACATGCTGTTTATAAAGCCTAATTTGCTTGTTTGTAGTCAATTTAACCCATGGTTAGGTTTGCTATATTTTTATATTTTATTGAGTAATACAGCATCGAGCAGAAGTATTGTTGCATTGGAAAACAGTCCCTTGTCCAGTGATTTAGAACTGTGGTTTATCTGTTGACCGAGTGTTTGTTTTAGGTGTCTTGTTATATGATTTTAATGGACACCTGCCATTGAGTCAAACATGTATTTTCCATGCCCATTTGTGGAATGTAATGTAAAGTACATTTACTCAAGTACTGTACTTAAGTACAATATTCATATACATTCCATTTTATGCTACTTTCAAAGTCAGACAAAAGATATTTTTATGTCAAATACATCAGATATACTGTCGCATCCACCAAATGTCATAGTGTATATCATGTCTCTGGTGTCTACAGTGCACATGTGGTACAAACACTCTTTTCATTAGCACACTGTGAGCCAGTTTACCTTGACAGTGACCCGGTGGTCGTTTTGTTTAGCGAGGTCTACCAGGTTCAAAGCGTTGTAAACAAGATTTTCCAAACAGCCGTGGAAATTTCTGTGTGGGCTGACTGACCTCCGAGAGCCATGTCCCTGGTCTGCTCCCACACTCATCTGTACAGAGAAAAACATGAACATACAGGCAAGCACATACAAAAAATAAATACATATAAAAAATTACATTTGAGCAGATGTGACTGCAAGTAGGTGTTCTACTGTTTGTGTGCACACACCTGGTCATGGTCCCAGTGGGTGAACCTTGGTGGAATCTGCACCCATAGTGTGCTTTTGTCCACAGTGAGGTTGAGGTGAGAGCTGTGATGCTCCACTGCGATGTGGTGCCAGTGTTGGTCATCTAACAAGCTGCCCAGAGACACAAGATGCTGGCTGTCGGGAGAAAAACTCCTGCCTGGAAGACAAGGAATGGAATCAATATGTGTTGACTGTAGATTAAGGAGAGGTTGATGAGAATCTGAACAAAGTTGATATCTTTATTTTGTCTTTTTGATAAAATAAAATTAGTTAGAATTGATACTGATAATAACTAATGAGCTTGCTGAATTTCATATCGTTTTAGGTCATTTCGTGAGTTTTTTCCCCTTGTAGAAATTGTGACTTTTGTAAAAAGTTTTTCCTAATGTTTTATTCAGGGAATGAATCCTACTCTGATATATTTTTACTGTCAACAGCATAGTAGGAATTGCAGCTTCTTCTCCTCTCCTTCTCTCTCTGGTAACAAAGTATACTCCGTATCCCAGTTTACTCCTCATGTGGGGGTCAAAACCAGAACCGCATCTCATACATCTATAACTGAGTAAGGACCAGAAAAAGGCAGGTGACAGCACATAATGAACACTAAAGGCAGTAGAGAAAGATGTAGAAAGGCATGAATAAATGACAAAGGAAATAGTGCTGGTTCTATGCACTCCATAAAGTGTTGGCACAGCGCAGAGTTTCTGCTGAGAGAAAGAGGTGAAGAGAGCTAAATGCACTCAGTCATTAAATATGAATTAGATATTGTTTGAAAGGAGACAATGTTGTCTGCGTGGGAAAAGAAAAAGAAAGAGAAGGGGAGACAGACAGAGGCTGACAGAGTCCAATGTGTTCAGTCATCAATCATCATTGATCTGTCAGACAGATGCTTGGCATAGCAGAGAGAGAGACTACAGTGAGTGAAGGAGGCAGACGGAGATAGAGAAGGTAAGAGTGAAGTGTACTTAATCATCAGCAGACTGATGTTGGCACATGCCAGAGTGAGAGAGAGAAACGGGGAAATAAAGTGTATTTAGTCATTACTGATATTTCATTGCAACCCTGTCACCTAGAAATCATGCTTGTATACTATAAATTTGTGTTATACAAATACATATACTATAAATATGTTAAGGTTGAGGAAAGGTCTTGGTTAATACTGAAAAAGTCAAAAGTTACTTGAAGAATTTAGTGCTTTAGTGTTGTTTTTCCACTTGTAGGGCTCCTTAATGAAATTAGCAATAATACATAACATACAACATCCAGTTACACTTTTAGAGTAAAAGTAATGGTTAACGTTGTAAAATATTGCAATTTGGTCAGGTTTAGGCAACAAATCTACAATGTTTTTCAGAATCACACAGAATTAAAGTGGATTTGATTGCTGAGGTAAACTTATTTCAACTTTGGTGAACTTCAGAGCTGGATTGGTAATCTGGCATACCAGGCAAATGCCCAGTGGCAGTGGCTTTGGGGCCGGTGTAATGTAAATTATGTATTTATATAATTGTTTTTGTTTTTTTTAAATGGGCTGACGATTGGCCCATAACACATGGACAACGGCCCATTGGGTAATTTTCTATACTGACACTGGGCTGGCCAATCACATCTCTTACTAGCCCCCACCCCGTCTGCTCTCTGAGGAGGAGGCGTGGTGTTAGCAGAGCAGAGTGACAAAGTGACCGTGATGGGCCGAGGGAGAAAGTGAGCAGGAGGAGAGTGGAGGTGAAGCGTTAACCATGAGTAGCTCAACCTGTAGGGAGGGAGCAGGGAGGGAGGGTCATTTACACTGGGGACGCTGGGGACATGTACCCACCACTTTTTGAAAGATTTGTTAAAAATGTTTTGAAAAAAAAACTTGTACCAAGAAATGTTAATTAACAAATAAAAATGGTATAAGAAAGGTTTACTTGCACAACAAGCCTGCAATGCAAAGTAAATACAGAAGAAACCTGCGTTGTCCAAAAAAGTAGCTTAAGTTACTGCTTACACACATTTTCAAAACTATGTCTCCTTTTTTCAAAACTCTACACACAATTCCCCAAATTGCTCACACAAAATGCAAAATATCTCATAATGTCACAAACACATTCCAAAATGAAGCATTTGCATCAGATGGCAAACACTTTTTTCACTTTGTTATACCATTTACACACTGTTGTTCTAAATCTAAAGCTCTTTTGTCTTTCATGGGTTTATGTGTACATTTGTAAACACCAATGCAATGTTGAAACAGCAACGATTTATTTGGCAAAACATTGCTGTTGTAACAGTAGCACAGTGTTGTATACAGTAGCATACAAAAAATGAAACCATATAGCTTACATATGTAAACCAAAAGTATGATTTTTACTTTTATTGACATAAATTAATACTTATTTACAATTACGTACTGCTGAAACAACCATTAGATTGCTGCAAACCTGTTCTAATTTCTGAAGGTTGAAATTATGGATGTTACTGTAAAGCCACTCAAGTTTGGCTTCTCTCATTGTCAACTTGTGGTTGATCACATGATCAATAAGTGTGACTGATCTCATCAGTGATGGCTCTCCTTCCTTCTCTTCTTTGCCATCGTCCTCTTTCTCCTCCTCCTCCTCTTCCAACTCTTCCTCCTTAAACTTGTCCTTGTTGTCGTCCCCTGCCTCTGCCTCTGCCTCCTTCTCCGCTTGCTCTCTGTCCATTGTTGGCATCCATTGTTCAAAACAGGTAATTTGACCTTTGACCTATTTATTGGTCTGCTGTATACTAAAGCAGTGATTGGTTAGTGATCAGTAAAGCAGTTACTGTTTGCACATGTAAGGAGTGGCTGTGTGTAGCATTTTCATTGGTTGTGTTTAGAAAAGGAAAGCAGGTCACTTCCTGTTAGATTTTTGTGTCTTAGGTAGAGAATTGTGTGAAGTGCTTTGAAAAAAATAGTTTTATGCAATTGAAAACTGAGTAAAAGGCTGAGAAATAGCTAATGTTTTAGAAGATTTGAGATGAGGTTTTGCTCTTTGAGTGAGAGGTTTCAAAAATCGTGTGACATGTAAAGATTTTGTGTGTAAGCAGTTGTAAAGAACTGTAAGCTTCTAATTACTGAATTATATTATATTATATTTTTATATTCTGAATTGTCACCAGCCACCTGAATTTTGTTCTTCATTGGTGCAGAAAATGTCCCCAGAATGCAGGAAATTAAGTGTCTAATGCTTAAAACCCTCCAGTCAGCTATTTCATCAATACATGTTTTCTTTCTAAATAGTAGGCCTATTAAAATATAATATTGTCTTGTTTTCATTGCTTAGTGTTTTGTCACACCCCTAATCTGAGCCCTTAAATGGAAGGATGGTGTGTTGTTGAGGGGCGTCTGACCGATTTTGGTGGGCCGCCCGGGCCAAAAATGCCAGGGCCGATTTTTTGTCCCAGTCCAGCCCTGGTGAATTTCAAAATGCCACTGACCTATTTGCAAACCGTCTTGACAGAGCTCAGGAACAAGGGAACAAGAGAACCAGAGTCCAAAATGGAGAAAGCTAGCTTTGTCTCACCATCCAATTTTATACAACCTTGCCAAAAGTGCATTCCTACTCATCCATTCTGCCATGAATGAAACTAATCACAACCAAACCTCCAGTAACACCTATTCTGCAAGTGATAAATAGAGGAATTTCATTGTTTCAGTTTCTGGTGTGAGTGGGAACTAAAGAGTCTAGCAGTCAAGTAATGATGTTGTTTTCTTTTCTTGTATTGTTATATTATTTTGCTGTTGTCCTCTTTCCATATTTGTCATATTTGTCCCTTTTTCCAAAGCTACTTAAAGAAACCCTGTGGCGTTTTTGACCTCTAGTAGCATAGCTATGGAGCAGTTTGTTGTTGTAGCCCGATATCATCAAAATCGTATGAATAACACACCAATTTCTTTAGTTATTTTTGTGTGGTATTCCAACACATTTTTTGCTTTTCGCTTGTCATTTCACGCCGTTTTGACCGCATTGACTTCTATTATGCAGAAACGGCATGCCATTTTACACCTATTGTCACAGGTTAAAACAGCGTGACTGGAATTTAAACATCCATGAAAGTCCGACACTAAGGTGGTGGAGGGGTGGTCGGGTGGAAAATAAGTTGGTCCCTGACCCAGAACACTGGCGTTAGCTTCCCGTGTGAAAGAAAAATCAAGTAATAAGACATTCCGTAAGTTACGTTTCATTGTTACCATGCTACATCACGTTAGCTACGTTACTAATGTAATACGCTGTGTTGTATGGAAAATGGTTTCACACTATTCCACTGATCTAAAGGTGATGGTGATATGCCAAGATATGCTACATTGCACTAACAAAGCCAGGGAAGAAGACCGGTAGCAAGAAAACATAGGTGTTAACAATGTGGGCTGCCAAAAGACTGAGAGAGTTTTTTCCGTATTTTTCCACCATTATCACAGCAGCAGGTGAGCCGCACGTTGGTTTATTAATGACGCAGCCTATCAAACAAATTAAACCAACATCTGCACCCAGTGTTTCTTTACCTGGTCCAATGCGTACAATATCCACCTCGACTTGTAACGCTAATAGTCTACCTATTTTTTTACAGAGTTAAGTCTGTGCGAGAACACATGCACATAAGACGACTTCTACCGCGCACCCGATGATATCACCCATTCCGATGTTTCATAGTAGACCTCGTCTGATGGAAATTTTGTAGACATCGCCCAACCCTACACTGCAATGCATTTTACATGGTTGTTTGACCCCAAGGATATCCACAATGTGTTTTGGTAAGTAACACTAAACGTAAACATAACTTCTATTTGTTTACCGGAAATCTTCACAGCGCACCTTTAAATGATTAGGAAGGACATGGTAATAAAAATAAAGAGTTAACATAGTACGGGACATTCTTTCATACCGACAGATAAACATAGGGTTTAAACCCTTTAGATGTATTTTTGGTTTGAATTCCAATTAGCTTTATCAGCAAAGAAGATTCTTCACAGTGATAATGTTTGTTCTACTGCCCTTCATGTCTGCAGTACTTCAAGAAACTTTTGGGAGTTCCCCTGTGTGATCTCCAGAATCACTGAGGTCATCTTTTAGTGAGGATTCAGGTAGCCTTCTTCATGGGGTTTTTAAAGAAAACTCTCTGAACTTCTCTTGTTTTTATGACATGAGAAGCTAC